TAGTCATTTATGGTAATTTCGTAGATTTTATTTATGGAAAGAAAATAAGGTAAACTCGGTTTGATGCGTGGGATATATATTAATGTAAAATCGGTTACATGTGTTACATGCGTCTGTAATTATTGTTTCCCTAGCAAATTTCAATTGAACCTAAAGCTGCCACGTCAGTTTAATTGGTATGCTAATTGATTGACAACTAAGCAAGGTTACTTTTTAATTATTACAAACTTAAGGTTACATCTTTTCAAATGTTTCTCAATTAATATATAGGGGATACATGTGCTATGCTGTGCAAAGAGAACTATTTTATAAATTTTATTTTAAAAAATAGAATTTAGCTAATTTGGATAATGTAATGTCTAGAACACTTGATAGTGTATCAATATTTCTTTAGAATTTTCAAAAAGGATATACACCAATAAATATCATAATTATTTGTCCCATAGTGATATGCATAAGGTGCCATTTAAAGGTATGTATTTGTTTCTTCAATGTATACCAAGGGTTGTCTTAGAAGAATCAGAGCATGGCTTGTTTCATAGGTAATAAACACACCAAAACCCTCTTGAGAAAGATGTGCTAGCACGAAAGGTATGTGTGAGCAAAGAACCATACCAAACTTTTTAGGGGATTTGGCTGAAAAAACAAATAAGTTGACTTAGGTGTGCGTGGCCTCTCCCTTGCTGTTTGTTCGTGTTGGCAGGTGCTATTAAAGTCCTCAGCGAGCTGTTCTCGAGTGGGTCATTATCTTTAAGAGCAAAGGATCATCAGGGAGGCCAAAATTACCGGGTTCCGGCTCTCTGGTTGAACTTGGTTCATTCTTTTGCGGCAAGCGAATGATGTAACTTAGCTGAGTCTCTGGATAATGGTTTGGGTTGTTGTGTTTGCCCCAGTTTAGGCTAAGATAGAGTATGTGTTTAGATTTTATTTTCGTTTTTCCGCTTCTTGTTATCCTTTGTAATTCTGTCAAAAACATAAAAGCTTGGTAATAATATCTTTACATTTCTTACCAAAAAAAAACAAATAAGATTTACATTCATTCTTTAACTTTTACGATGTCTTTTATTCTTCTGAAATCATCATATACAACTTTGTATCTAACATCAACCTGAGTTTGGAAAACAACATAAAGATATAAAAAAATGCTAACAAAAATAAGCTTTATGATCTACATAATACTTATAAGTTAGAACTCAATACGAACATCAAGAACAAATTCCTTTGTCTCTTTTAGAAAAAGGAAAATTATGTTACAACAAATGTTCAGAGCTATTCACAAACATGAAAAACAGCTTCAAATACACTCAAATAAACTTCATGGGGATCTAAATTCATCAGATCCTCAACATTCTTCACAACTCTTTATTTTTTTTTTCCATTCCTAATCTTCTTACACAAAACACCTTTCATCATCTTTATGGCTTACATAATGCCCGAGCAACAGAATTGAACTGTTGGTTCTTGTTCTAAGAACTTATGATTTGAATTTTCTAATGACTGTAGAGTACATAAATACAAACAGTAACTGCAGTGAATATCTTGTTCAGTCACTTGTTTTTTAGTCTAAACTTACTTATGGGATTTACTTACTTCCTCAACAATGGTCAAGTTGACTATTAACGTCACCTTTCTCTTCTCAATGTTTGATAACCTAACAACTTTATCAGCCGAACCCGACACATAAACCATCTTTAACCAGGACCGATTCAGGACCCAAATTGACATCCACCAATGAGGTCAATATACTGGTGAATTTAAGGAATTTTCATTTGATCAGTCGTAATCTCCCTAGACATATCTTGAAAACGATAGTTAATTTCAAGTGTTGGCCATGCCACCATCGACACAATTTTTTTACTGGCGAGACCTCTAGATCTCTTACAGAAACACATCTAGATCTCTTACAGAAACAACATGATCTTCACGGGGAAGCAAAGTGGTCCAGGACTCAAGAGCGATCTTCAAGCAAGGATGTTGATTTTGATTATGATGTAGATTGCTATCAATATGTTTCTAATGGATTGATGCCTTGTTGTGATGGAGTTGTAAGTTTATGTGTGAATATTAGATCAGATGTCCACAACCGAAATGTTTGTATTGGCTTTTCAATTTTTTTCATTTATTGTCACTTTCGCATACTTCTAAAAAGCTGACGTGTCAATTTTTAGACTTTTGTGTTATTATTTTGTTGCTTTCTTGTTGTCCATGCATGCAAACTTATTTCAGCCAGATTGAAGTATGTGCTTTTAATACCTCCACATTATTGTAGTTTAACTTCAGGGTTTCTCAAATATTATTCTTATTCCGTTTCATTCCTATTTTAAATTAGATATATTTCTAGGTCAAAGTGAATCTTAACTAGATCCTTTTGTATCGGACTTTTTGAAAAATACACACCTTAAATTAGATATGTTTCAGTATGTGATTCATCTATAAATATAATCCTTTATCTTTCTGATTTTTTAAAACACTTGGTTTATTATCTAAGATGAAAACTGCTTTTCGATCTTCGCTTACTAGTTCTGTTATACTCACAATTCTTCTACTCGGTTTGTATTTACATTTTTAACCCTATTTGGTTTGTATTTATATTTTAGAATAAATATATTTCAATACAATATTATTATAGTTATTTATTTATGTAAATTGTATATCTAGTTTCATAATATTGAGTTTAGTAATTTTCCAGGAATACTCATTGATTAAGAAAAAATATGTATAGACTTTCAATTTTTTCTATAAATATACAAAAATACTCTCTAAGCATATACTTTACAAAAAGCTAAAATAGTTATTTTAAATAGAAAAATAAGGTTATATTTTAATTACTATAATTATAGGAGTAATGACGGATGCACAGAAAGGAGCACCAAGCTTCAAAAAACCGTGTATTGAGGCATACCCAAACAACACTGGAAAATGTAATGTCAAGGAATGTAAAGCCGAATGTGACAAAAAGAGGAAGGGGCTGGGTAGGTGCCTACCGATAGGCAAAGGAGATATGCAATGCAGATGCTACTATACCTGTCCCTGATTTTTTTATCTACACTGAGCCCAATAATATTTATAATATGATTACACTTTTTTTTTCAACATATAATTACACTTTTATCAATGAAAATAATACCGATACTAGTAAATTTTTCTGATCTTTGTCGCATAATAAGGTGTATTATGTTACCAAATATTATATATAAATAACACTTTTTTTTTAACACTTGTTATTAAATCAAGAGTACTCTTACAACTTTAAGCCAAACTAGCCACCAATAGAAACTCAAAGAAAAAAACACCAGTAGGCATCTGTACCCATACAAATGTGGGTAAAAGAAAAATCAAAGACCCAAAAAGATCATGAGATGTGAGAGAGAACCAGACTCACAAGGCAAGAACACATGGATGTTTCTCGACCTCTCTTACAGTGATGAGAGATTACCTCTCCCGGAAGAGACCATATCTCCAGCAACAGGAACCTATCGCTTCACCGTTAACTTCTATATTTCTGATTTTTTTTTTTTTGATAAATATCCTACTATATATTAAATGAGAAGTCACTTTATTGATTTTTGCTTAGGTGTCACTCATAGGTGAAATTTAGAATTAATTCTCTTAATTTGATTGGTTGTTGGTTTTTGAATTTTTATTTATTTAAATCAAGTGTTTAAAAGGAAACTAATCATAGAGTTACCTAATATTATATATGTTACCAAATAAACAATCAAACATCTTAAAATTAAATGAATTAACATAATTGTTTTTGTTGAAACCATTGATTATCACAGATTACGTTATAAAAATTTATAATATAAATATAGATACATATGATACTACATAAACGGTTTTGAAAATATTATATTTATAGTGTATACAATAAATCATAGATTACAGAAAACTAATAAATAGAACTAATAATATTTCTCTCACTATATACATATATTATAAAAATCTACCAAACGAATGTAAAACAATCAAATATATAATTTTAAAAAATTTCAATCATTGTAACTGACAATGTGATATTATAGTTGAGTTATCATTTTTTATAAATGATTAGAGTATTTTTATATTTAAAATATCATATTTACATCCCACTATATATTAATGAGAAGCCACTTTAGTGGCTCCCTAACCGGCTAACAGATAGATTGTCCACGACGGCTCGAGCTTTCTATAGAAATTAGTTTTTATTGATTGTTCTATTCCAGTCTGAATTCTTCAACCATCTCAAGTTTGAGTAATTGACTAATATTTTGATGTAAAAAAAAAAGAGAACATCAAAGTTCTAAGTGTATAATTCTGGTCACCAAGATTTTATCATACAAATATCTCTTCTTTTGATATATCAATTAAAAATAATAATGGCAACGGTTAGACATACAAAAATGTGTTTTTTTTCTCTTATGCTAAAGACATAAAAATCATTTACAGAAACATGGCGTATTGAAGTTAAGATCATTCACTTGTGGATGAAATTTAACAAAGAAACTAGAAAATATCACTAAATGGTTTTATCGATAAGAAAGAAGATAGTTATTATTACTAATTTAAATTTTAAATGGCAAAGTCATTTTTACGAAGATTTAGTTTTTTCCTTAAATATATTTTGAATTGCAATGTTTTTGATAGCTACTAATTCTACTAATTATTTGCATGGTACTTTATTTTATTTTTAACTGATCCACAAAAACCTTTTAATGTTTAAACATGTGACAAGAATTCATGCTTTAATTAAATAAAATCTGATCAAAAATATGAAGACGATCTAGACAACGGTCATGCATGGTCGTAAAGTTATTGATATGATACTTAAAAAGTTGATGTAGTAATTTGATATTAATTTTTTAAGTTAAAAGTTATTTTTTTCATTTTTATCAGATTATACAAAACAAGTTTACTTTTTTTCGTTGACAAATATGTGTGCTAATATTTAGTTATTTAATAATATAATGATATTATTACTATTTTTCCTATTTTATTTCTGAAAAATGTTATTATTATTAACTTAATATGTTTATTAATTATTTAAAATATTTAATTAAAAATAAAATAAAATAGTCTATTTTAAAACTGATTTTTGTTCTGTTTTATTAAAGTTGGTATTTAATCATATTAAGTAAAATTCAAAAAATATTATAAAAGACAAATATGGTTTTTTGGTGTAAAACTGAAAGGACCGAAAACCGACGGTATATATACCAAACCCAAACAAAGTCTATATGGTTTTAATATGGTAGTTTTTTTTATAAACCAAAATACCAAAAAATCAAAAAATTAAACAGAAATTGAACCAAAATTCCGATTGAACACCCTTACTACTACATCATCTTTTTCTGGATGTTTTGTTCTTAAGGAGTTGTTAATCAATAGATATATCATTCATATTACTGACGTATATGAACTACATTTTTCATTGTTTTATCCAGGCAACATGATAAGATTCTTTTTGCTAACATTCTGACAAAGATTTTTGACATATTGTCATTAAGAACTGGTTGGGACTTCCATTACCATTATGACTATCAATGAATATAAATTGAACTGTTAATACTACAACAAAAGTAATACCTACAAACAATGTTGATGTTGATATCCAGCCTTTGTTTTTGTGCACTACATGTGATCAAAGCATGCCAACGCTAATTTTGCCCATTTTTATTCCCGCACAAGGTGCGGGTGAGTCACCTAGTTCTGATTATTTAAGCTCCAAATTTGTGTACCCAATTACACTACCTCCAAACTCTTATCCCGTTTTGAACCAACTTATAGTGATTTTTTATTTTTTTTTATGAAGTTAAGGTTTTACCTTCTTTTTTAAAAGAATCGTTGATAAGGTCAGACCAAAAATAACATGAGCTACACCACATATATAGGTATAGCATACAGATGCGGAGGACTGTTTTTGTTTGTCACTTGTCACTCACTTCAAACACCTAAGAGCTGCTCTCTCTCACAGCAACACACATACAATCACATGCGTGCATGCATTATTACACGTGAACGCCATGCAAAACTCCTTTATGATCTATAAATTAACTCAATCGATTCACTCTTTACTCAAACCAAAACTCATCAGTACAAACAAGGTTAATTAAAAACATACACAAATGGCGAACAAGCTCTTCCTAGTCTCGGCAACTCTCGCCTTCTTCTTCCTTCTCACCAATGCCTCCATCTACCGAACGGTCGTCGAGTTCGACGAAGATGATGCCACCAACCCATCCGGCCCATTTCGGCTTCCAAGATGTAGGAAGGAGTTTCAGCAATCACAACACCTAAGAGCTTGCCAGCAATGGCTCCACAAGCAAGCAAGGTTAGCCGGTGGTGGTCCTAGCTGGGCCCTCGAACTCGAAGGTGAGTTTGACTCTGAAGACGACATGGAGAACCCCCAGGGTCGTCCACAGCAGAGACCGCCGCTACTCCAGCAGTGCTGTAACGAGCTCCACCAAGAAGAGCCAATTTGCGTTTGCCCAACGTTGAAACGAGCATCAAAAGCTGTTAAACAACAAGTTCAACAACAACAGGGACAACAACAAGGACATCAGCAAATGGTGAGCCGTATCTACCAGACCGCTACACACTTACCTAATGTTTGCAACATCCCGCAAGTTGGCGTTTGTCCCTTCCAGAGGACCATGCCTGGACCCTACTACTAGATTCCAAACGAAACCCTCTGAATGTATGACACCTCACCGTGTGTTTCATAATATGTAAGGTCTTATTATCTAGGATGTTTGAGGCTAATGTAAAATTAGCACAACTCCATAATAAAAGAGATCAGGCTTTTTAAATGTTTAATTTACTTGATCAACTTAATTCGTACATCGGCTTTTAACAGCAAGCAAAACACCGTTTAAGCTGCTCTATGACTGTCCTCTTCCATCAATCACATATAGATTTTAAGTTGCTTTTATTTTCTCCCATAGGCATCGGCGTGGAGAAACGGTATGTCTTCATATTGACGACTGCAAATTTGCAACTAGTTCTAGCTTGTTTTCAGCTATTAAAAGAGCATTTTACATGAACTCAACGTGTTGATTAGCTCTTTGTTATCTACAAGAAATAATTACACATGCATGATCAAGAGGAAAGAGACATGCAAACAGTAAATTTTACATTAACAGCGGTGTCTTTTTCTCCTATCTTCATCTATTGTCTACGCAGTCAAGATACACGCCTACACCTCTCTTCTTTTTCAAAAGCAACCAATTTTTCTGCATGTCAGCAACTAATACTTATCCATAGCTAACCAAAGTAAGTTTCTCCCCACATATCTACAAATCCATTTGACCACAAATGAAGGGTTAAAAATTAGTTACATCCAAAATACACAAGAAAACAAAAAAAGAATCATTTTCGTTAACTTTATATAAAGTACAGAATGACAATTCTGCAAAGTGACAGTTTGGCCGAGTGGTCTAAGGCGCCAGATTTAGGCTCTGGTCCGCAAGGGCGTGGGTTCAAATCCCACAGCTGTCAAAATTTTTAGTTTTTGTTTCGAATCCCATGTTTGTCTTATATTTTAAGTAATGTACTGGACCTTGTTGATTTGGACATCAATGATATAAAAGAGTCACGCAAGTAAGCATTTGGATCAACAAAAAGTCAAGCATTATAGCATTAGTATTCTGAAGAACTAGTTATGATACTGTTAAATGGGTCAAGGAATGTCAAGCATAGTATCTGGGGATGCAGGTTGTCCAAATGGACTAATATACAATATATGACTGGATCCGCTTTAGAATCTAAAATATGTACATATGTTTAGCTTAATGTTAAATGCAATTTAATTTAGAATAGAAGACAGTCCTTTGGCTCAGGAAGATGTTCGGCATCATAACAGATGCATTGAGATTCAGGTTTCGAAATCGAGATTCTTGAATTTCATTGAGGAGCTTCATCAGCAGAAGCCTGTCTTGATTGGTTGCTTACAGTTCAAGAAATCCTAGATTACAAGAAAGTTTCTGAGAATGGTCAACTTTTGTAATATGCTATTTTTTTTGGTTACATAAATATAAGAGTTACCAATTGATTGCAAGTAAACAAATGGTTGGCTTGATTCTCTCTGTTTGGGCTAGAAAAGAGTTGATTCAACATATATCTCATCTCTCTGTTGGAACAAGGTAACACAACCTTTTTCTCTAAATTCAGACTCTTGTGGAGGCCATGGGAACTATATGACACGTAAAGTTTTGATTTTTTGATCAATCTGTCTATAAATGCCTCGATTGATGTTTTTTGTTTGCTGAAGTGTTGCATGTTTGATAAAATATGTTGAGTTCCTGTATAAGACTCTTCTTGGATAATGAAATTGAGTGTTATTGATTTGTTATTTTGTTTAGTCTCTCGTTTCCTTTTTTCTTTATTGGTTTTTGCTATAGCTTTGTTGAACTATATAATGCACCAAAAGCACTATTACTATATTGCATCAAACCACCTCTTGAGGGCATGGCATTAAACAAAACAGTTATCTTTTTACGAACATGTCCAAAATTCGATAAAATAAAACGACATAATCCTCAAAACAACGACATAACTAGGTCCACCAAGGAAAGTAAAATTTAACAAAGCACAAAACATGTTTGTCACATCAAACGGGAGGGATGAGAAGACGAATAACACCGTTCTTGATGATGGTCTTGATCCTACGGCTTGGAACGTCAACAGGAGCAGAGAGCATAGCCACGTCACCAGAGTAGAACCGACCATCAGAGTCATGACTAACAGCAGGAGCTTGACCAGTCACCTTCACTCTCCCGTTAGCGACAGAGACGTTGAAGTTGTCTTTGGGAACACCTGGCATGTCTAAACGCACGTATAAGCTGCCGTTTTCGAGCTGCTTTGACTCATAAGCCATAGTCGATCCTTGAAACACATTCGGGTGAGGCTCCAATACCAGACCCGTTAGAGCCGGGTCTGCACATCCACACAACATCAAATTAATAAACGAAACATAGTACTATACAAATCATAACGTATTTAATTTCATGCTAATAAAATTAACATAAGATTAGCGTACCATGGGGATTAGAGCCATAGGGAAACCTATCTGCAACCAAAAAAAAAGAGAGTAAGGTGTGTAAAAAATATTCAAAAGAAAAAACAAATAATAAAATTAAAATTACCATCTCTGAACTCTATGCGATGAAGAGACGCTGGCCAAAAAAAACAACGTAATTCAAATTTTATTATAAGATAAAATATAAAGTAATATTTGAATGATCCCTTTTATTTATAGATAATGGTTATACCGATGCAGGAAGGGCGTTGTGGGTCGATTTTAGTCTTGGAGAGGTGAAGTCTTAAAACACCGTCGGTCATTTGTGAGGTGAACCCTGAGACCTCGCAGCATTTGCAACCGAGTCCGGTGACGGTGAGGTACTTACGGTGAGAGGAGTCGTGTGTATGGACCTTGGGTGCGTGGGCGATGACAGTGACAGCTTTCTTGGTCGGATCAAGAGTAACTCTAACGCTATCTTCTGGAACGCCGGGAAAATCTATTCTTATGAACAAGTCCTCGTTCTCAAGCATCTTGTACTCTTGATACCCTTTTGGTCCATTCATGAGAAACTGGTTGTTGACTGCGTAAAAACCTTCTGCTTAAAAACAGAAAGAAAAAAATAAAAGTTATTAGTAAACGAGAAAATGAATGAGATTTTGAGCTTCTTATTGGTTCAGAAGAGTTTTACCGGGAGATTGAGGGATGGCAGGAAGAGGAGTAGCGGCCATGATTCAACGGAGGGAGGTTTTTTTTAGCTACTTGATAAATAGGGTTTCTTCTCCTTTAAAAGTCTCTGTCACGCTGATCTTTATGGGAGAGAAAGAGAGGCAATGGGAACGAGAAGGGAAGGAAGATGATACTGTCAGATGAAAACGACAAAACAAAAATTACATTACTATGGGGCACGCGTCCACTTCTTATTTGTGGAAGTAACAATGATCTTGCGCTTATTAGTAATTGTGGACGTTATTATATCCACTTGTTCATATATCATTGGCTAATGTTTTTAAATTAAAATTTGTTTAAATATAATTTTGAGTTATAGTTGGATAATATTCTGAGATACCCTTGTTTAGATATTTTTGCAGTGTTGTGTAGACGAGTATTCGTGATTTTAATTAGGGTTTTAGTGTTATTTCTTTTTGAGATCTTTCTCTCTCTAGGGTTTTAGACTTTAATGGGAGGGGAGCTCCAAAACAAACAGAGTATGGGAGGTTTGTCAGGTGAAAATGACAACCGATCCCTCTGGCGACACGTGTTGACTTTACATTTGTGAGGTCTGTGTATTATGGTAGTACTAGGAAACGTGTTCGATTCTTATTTGCCACCAATTTTGAATGAGACGAAATCATCTTGTTTACCATTAATATCGTCTACATATGCATACATTGTTATTTTATCTAGAGAGAATTAGGCAAATGCCCAAAATTGAAGCCTATATTAGGCAATTACCCATGATGGGACATAAAAGTAAAGTTTTATACAATTTAGGCTTGTTCAGACGATTTTGCCCTTCTCACCTTCTCTTTCCCATGTGAAAAAATCTGACATCTCTCTTTCTCCAACGATTCTTCATCTCTTTCTTACATTCATTTTATTTAAACCACACATATTTTTCACATAACTCTTTTTCACATTCATTTCTTTCTTTTTTTCTTGATTTTTGTTTCTCATCTACAATTTTATTTGTAAATGATTTTAAATTTACTCATTTTGATAGAGAAATGAAACTTCAACAATATTTATTTGTTAATATATAATACCTAACGCATGTATTG